TGATGTAATGTTATATTTGGAAAAAACTAAAGACTCCACAAGAAAACTATTAGAACCAATAAATTCAGTAAAGTTGCAGAAGACAAAAGCAACATACAAAAATGTCTATATGACAGCAGTGAATAATGTGAAAAAGAAATTTTAAAAATAGTCCCATTTACAATAGCCACACGTAAGATTAAATACCTATGAATTAACTTAAAGAAGTAAAAGATCGCTATTGTAACAACAATTATAAAACACTGATGAAAGAAATTGAAGGCACCAAAAATGGAAAAACATTCCATGTTCATTAACTGGAAGAATCAATATTGTTAAAATGTCCATACTACAAAAAGCAATCTACAGATTCAATGCAATCTCTATCAAAATACCAATGACATTCTTCACAGAAATAGAAAAAACATTTTAAAATGTATATGGAACCACAAAAGACCCAGAAGAGTCAAAGCTATCCTAAGCAAAAAGAATCAAACTACCTGACTTCAAATTATACCACATACCTATAGTAACCAAAACAGCATGATACTGTCATAAAACAGATACATAGAACAATGGAACAGAATAGAGAATTCAGAAACAAATCCACAAACAAATCCACACACCTACGTGAACTTAATTTGAAAAAGGTCCCAAGAACATATATCAGGGAAAAGACAGTCTCTTCAGTAAACGGTGCTGGTAAAACTGGGTATCTGTAGGCAAAAGAAGGAAACTACACCCCAACTCTCACCATATACAAAAATCAAATCAAAACGGCTTAAAGACTTAAATGTAAGACCTCAAGCTACGAAAATACTACAGGAAACACTGGGGAAAATCTCCAGGACAGTGCTCTGGACACCATTTCTTGAGAAAAACTCCACAAGCACAAGCAACCAAAGCAAAAACAGACAAAAGACAACATATCAGATTTTTTAAAAAGTGGGATCACAACAACATGGACAAAGGATACAATCATCCAACTGAAGAGAAAACCCACAGAATGGGAGAAAATATGTGCAAATTACCCAACTAACAAGGGATAAATAACCAGAACATATAAGGAGCTCAAACAACTCTATAGGAAAAAAATCTAATAATCTGATTAAAAATAGACAAAAGAGTTGAACAGACATTTCTCATATGGCAAAACAGGCACATTAAAAGGAGCTCAAAATCTTTGATCGTCAGAGAAACACAAATCAAAACTACAATGAAATAATATGTCAGAATTCCCTTTTCTCCACATCCTTGCCAACATTTGTTATTGCCTGTCTTTTGGATATAAGCCATTTTAACTGGGCTTATATCCCAAAGACACGCAATAACAAATGTTGGCAAGGATGTGGAGAAAAGGGAACCCTTGCACACTGTTGCAGAAAATGTAAATTAGTACAACCATAATAAAGAAAAGTGTGGAGGCTCCTAAAAATTAAGTTGCCATATAATCCAGCAATCCCACTGCTGGGTATACACCCCCAAAAAAAGAAATCCAGTATATTGAAGAGATATCTGCACTTCTCTATTTGTTGCAGCACTGTTTACAATAGCTAGGATTTGGCATCAACCAAAGTTTCCACCAACAGATGGATCGGATAAAGAAAATGTGGTACATATACACAATGGAGTACTATTCATCCATAAAAAACAATGACAGCCAGTCATTTGCAACAAATGGGGTGGAACTAGACATCATTATGTGAGGTGAAAGAAGCCAGACACAGTGAGACAAACATCACATGTTCTCACTTATTTGTGGGATCTGAAAATCAAAACAATTGAACTCATAGAGACAGACAGTAGAAAAATGGTTATTAAAGGTTGGGAAGGCTAGTGCAGGGGAAGGGTGAAATGGTGGGGGGAGGTGGGAGAAGGGTAGAGTACAAAAAATAGAAAGAGTAAGACCAACTGTCTGATAACACAACAGGGTGACTACAGTCGATAATAACTAAATTGCACATTTAAAAATAACTTCAAGAGTGTAACTGGATTGTTTGTAACTCAAAAGATAAATGTTTGAGACAAGAATACCCCATTCTCCATGATGTGCTTATTTCACACTGCATGCCTATATTAAAACATCTCATGTGCCTCACGAATATATATTATCTACTACGTACTCAAAAAGAGTAAAAATATAAATAAAAAAATGAAAAAGGAGATCATGCATAAAAATTTCCCACAGTCAAGTTTATAAGACTACTCAATAAGTAGTCTTACTCTCTGTAAGATATAAAATAAAAATTTAATGACAAGAACATACTGATGGTTTTGTTACATTAAGTCACATCATTTTCTACATAGAACTTGCGGCTCCTAACAAGAAAGAAGGAAAAAGTCTAAATGATCTCATATGATAGGGAACTTCAAAACCTTATTTATTCTTTATATACATTATTCTTTCTTTTCTCCTGTTTTCCATTTAAAGCTCACATACTAAAAGGCTTGTCAAATTTTCTTGGCCTTTTATACCTTGAATCAAACTAGTTTATGTTCTTAGAAATATTATCAAGGCCTATAATTCCCAGTACAGCCTACAGGTGAGTGTAGACATTAGCACAAGTAAGGTGTTCAAATAGTACATAAAAGAATTTTGCCAGGTTGTACCATCACAGGAGGTGTCTTATTTATGGAGTGTCATAGAAGGCAAAACAAATATCACTCAGTAAACCTAAATGGTAAAGAGGCCTTGGTTTTCTTCATTCAGAAACAACTTTGCCAGTTGCTTTGTCTATTATGACAGCATGAAGTAACTACTACTACTTGACAGTGTTCTAACAGAACTTTTAAATTATTAACAAGAAAAACAACAAAATAAATTCTCTTCCCTAAAAGGAAGTTCTGTCTTTCCAAAGCTGCCTTACTTATTCACTACAATTTATAACTAAAAATTTCAATTCTCAGGACTGGAAGAGTTATCAAAATATGTATATATATACACACACACACACACACACACACACACACTATATATATGGATCAGCTAATACTCCCTGATTACCTAGAGCAAATAGTAGTAAGAAAGCACTAGTAGTAGCTGTAACAGCAGAGTAAAAGTAAGGAGACATTTACTGACTACTTATTGTGTTATAGAAACCTGCTATTGTTTCTCATGAATCATCTCATTTAGTCCTCTCAACACTGCTAAAGAAACTGAGGCATAAAAAGGTTACCTAAAATTATATCAAATTATATCACTTGCCTAAAATTATAGCTAGTAAAAACAAACAAAAAAAGACCAGAATCCAAAAACAGGCAGTCCAACTTGAAAGTACACACTTTTAATGCTTACTAAACTTCCTAATACTAGACCAGTGTCAGGCCAAACTTAAATACCTACACCAAAGATATAGACCACAGATTCATGTCAATACATCAAATCATTTGTTATATATTTTATTTTTGGATAGATGACAAAGAATGAGAGGTAAGATTCTTTAGTCATTTGTCCTGAACAACAACACATGGGATTCTCCAAGATTCCATGGTAGATTCTATGCTATCCCAGCAATCTTCTATGGCAACATTTCCCAAGGATCAGTCTACCAATTGAGGTGAAAATGAGAAAAATAAGACAAATATTTTTTACTAGAGTAAATTTTATTAAATTTTAAAGTCTATCCTTTATTTTAGGACATAATATAGCCTACCTTTTTGATATTAAAATATGGGAAATGATGGTGATAATGTATATAGGTTGCTTTATTGTTATTTTTGGTTTTACTATAAACAATGCTTAATAAAATACTGAAATATCCTTATGTGACAGAATAAAAATTTAAGTATCCCCCATCTTATACTGGAGAGGAAGAGGCAGAGAGTGATCGCCACAAAATACAAAAGGTTGAAAATCATTCTTAATTTTAGTCACCAACCCTAGATGGTAATCTCCTGTAATAATAAATAAATAAATAAATATGAAAGATGTCAACACAATTATGATGACAACTGCTCAAATGTGTTAACAAACATGAGTGTGGATGTATTAAAAAGAACACAGGTCTTTGTGCCACTTATCAATTTAATTGCCTCTCATGCATGCTTCCATATCTACTTTGCAATAATGGACAGAATTTATTCAGCATTTCTTCTTATAGTGAGTATGACACTAAACTCAATGGTAGAGGGAACTATAAACTCAGTGGTAGAGTCATGTAGAAGGGAGGGGGCTTTTCGGCAGGGATTGGTAGAGTACATCCTCCTGTGCTCTGTCCAACCATATACATAGTCCCTCAGGGACCATACAGCCCTGGCTCAAACTGAGTATCAGTTTTCCCTGGCCCTCTAAGTGCAGATAGCATACTCCCCAGGTTTCAAACCAGTGCCCCAGTTCTCCCTGCAGACTATACCAGTCACCTACTTGCCACAAACTGAAGACAAAATGTGGCTTAGGCTATAACCTGCATACTTCTCTCCATCCAGTAGGGTTTAACTATAGTTTCTCCAACAAAGCCTGAACCCTACCTAGGGTAAGAGGTCATCCTTCCAATTTTGTCATTCCTTGGATAATCTCCCTCCACCCCAGAGCACCCTTTAGAGTTTTTTAATACCTTATAGCGACTCTTTTATCATATCTTAATAATTCTTTGCACTAAATTTCTCCTTTTTAAATCACCTTATTAAGTTCTATCTCTTGATAAAAAGTCACACAGACCTAGGTTCAAAATTGACCATTCACCAGTTTGTGCTCTTAAACTAGTAAGTTATTTAAATAATCTGAGCCCTTGGTATTACGCCTATAAAACAGGAAACTTTACCACCTGCCTCATCATAGGGTCAATTATTAAGATTAAATAAGATTATGGATATAAAAGCCAATGCAGGTACTCGATAACTGGTCTTTCCTCTCGTCCTTCTCCATCTGTATCCCACTGGTCATTTAGTCTATGCCAAGAAGATACAAAGAAGCAATCAAATGAATGTGTGAAACCCGAAGTATCATAAACAGAAGAACAAAGTAGTCAAAAGCAAACACATTATAAAGCAAACACATGAACCAACATAATTAGGACATCAACCTTCCAGCATCTGTCTCCTTGAAAATTCCATCCTGGTTAGGACATAGTTCACAGCTAGGAGAAACACCACATTTACAGGCATCACAAAACCAAGGTTCAGTGGAGTTTTCAGAAGCTGAACTCATAATAGAGTCACTCTCTCCATCAACTCCGTAACAACCTAAAAACAGAGAAAAACAATATAATTAAATTTTGTTTATTTTGTTAATGTCACATAAAATCACAAAAGAAAAACAATACCAAAGGGAAGAGATGAGGAAAAAGATCTGAAAAACCAGTGATTTATAAGAAATGTATTAAAATACAGAAATAAACTTATTTTATATCCTTTTTCACCTAATGTAGTATATATAATGACACATGACATTTTAAAAATAGTTTTAGTCCTACTGCAAAAGCATTAACGGTAGGAAAACACTTAATACATTTTTAACTTAAAAAATAAAAAATGGGCGGGGCACGGTGGCTCATGCCTGTATTTCCAGCACTTTGGGAGGCTGAGGTAGGTGGATCACCTGAGGTCAGGAGTTAGAGACCAGCCTGGCCAACAGGTGAAACCTCATTTCTACTAAAAACACAAAAATTAGCAAAGCATGGTGGCAGGTGCCTGTAACACCAGCTACTCAAGAGGCTGAGGCAGGAGAACAGGTTGAACCTAGGAGGCAGAGGTTCCAGTGAGCCAAGATCATGCCATTGCACTCCTGCCTGGGTGACAAGAGTGAAACTCCATTTCATAAACAATTAAAAATAAAAAATATAAAAAATACAAGCTGTCATTAAAGAATTCAGATTAATTATTGATTGGTAAATACTTATTGAGCTCCCTTTGTACCAGGTACTAAAATATATATATATAAAAGACCAAACTCATGCAAAACAACATACAAACAAAAAAGTCTCTGATCTAATTTTAGAGGTGGCAGATTACACAAACAGGTATAATACAACTGTAAAGGCAAAGTTACACACCTAAAGCTATAGAACAGTTTGAAAAGTTCAGAGTAACATTAGACTGAGTTCCAGGCACAGCTAAGCCAATCTCTAACTATATGATGTATCTAATCTGTTTAAAAATTTTAAATTATTCTGTCTTCTGTGAAAATTTGTTGATTACTGAAATGAACAAAAATAATCGGTCATTATCCTTTTCCTCTTCTTATTCACAAAACTCAATATTCTGGGAGGATTTTGTCATTCTATTTAGGCAGCTAATGTAATAAAAATCCTTAAAACAAACAAGATAACTTGGCACTGTTCTTTACATTTTAGAGTAGGACATGTCATACTTCAATTCAACTGCACTCCAATTATCAAAGGCAAAGTTTCCTTATATACATGTCTGGAATTAAAAGTTACAGCTGACAATGGGACACAGGTTTGAACGAGTCAGATGCACTTACATGCGGATTTCTTTCAATGCAACACAGAGTGAAAATACAGCTATGGGATACAAAACTCAGATATATGAAGCACCAAGTTTTCATATTCGCAAGTTTCCCACATCCGACTGTGGGACTTGAATATGTGCTAATTTTGGTATCTGCAGGGGTCCTGGAACCAATCCCCTAGGTATATTGAGGAATAACGTATATTTAAAGTTACTATTTAGGCTTTCAGATCCACCTAAAATTCTTCTTAAGTTGAAATATTTTCCTTGATTTTGAATTTAAAAGAGTGGATTATTTATCAAAGCTGCAGTAAGAAATTCAGGCAGGACTTCACTGACAATATCTTGGTAAATCAGGTTTTGATCATTAAAATTCCCTAAAACTCAATTTTGCCTACAAACTCAGCATTGATAAGGCCGTCAGTACCTGAGAAACCAACAAAATCTGTTAGTAAGCAATGTCACATTCATAATCATAAATAACTCTTTCTCAGCATCAAGATGCCTACAAGTTTGTATTACTACCAACAAAGCATAATAAACATCGAATCTGATCAATGGAAATTGAAAAGTTCTGAGAGTATTTCATTCAGACTATAAAAAACCATGCTGAACTACTTACTGACAATACCCAACAATAAAGAACATTTCTCTACTGATGATAGTCATGACTCCTAAATAGATTTCTTTTTCCCAAACAGCGATGGACACGCACTAACTTCTCATTATCAAATTTCCCTTCCTTTAAAAAGTAAGCACTGCCCTTATGTAAAACATCCTTCAAAGAAACAATTGAAAGCATATATAATAATGAATACACCATAACTTAATTCTAGTCTTAATGTATCACCTTTAGGTCTGGCCATTTCTCCAGTCTTCTAAGACACATCTCAAGACGGGTCATTTCTAAAGATAAAATAACAATCATCCCAACATAATTTTGACCAGGTTTATTCTAAGAGGGTAGGTCTTGGTATCAAATTCTGAGGGGCACCCAACAAAGTAACCCCCAGGAAACTGATTACATTAAATAAGCCATGCTGAGAAACATATATCACTAATGATGACTAAAAGACTTCACCACATATACATATTCACAAGTAAGTTTATATATATATATATAAAACCATTGTAAGATCACATGATTATTTGAACTGGTAAACACTAACCAGACAACTAGGATGCTAAATTGGAACGTGACCTCTCAAAACCATCTCAAAACTAAAATAAATAAATAACTACAGTACATAAATAATTGAATGAATAAATACTGAGTTAAACAAATCACCCGAGAAAGAAAAACAGCCATATACAATTAGTAAATAATTTTAAATCATCAACGTTAATTACCTAGATGTCATTACATGTGAACAGTTCCATTTAAGTATTTTATTCATATACTATTGACTTAATATAGATCATAGTTAAAATAGCCTAATAGTAAGCAAAAAGGCCAGGCACAGTGGCTCATGCCAGTAATCCCAGCACTTTGGGAGGCCAAGGCAGATAGATCACAAGGTCAGGAGTTCAAGACCAGCCGGGCCAAGATGTTGAAACCCATCTCTACTAAAAATACAAAAATTAGCTGGGTGTGGAGGCACGTGCCTGTAATCCCAGCTACTCAGGAGGATGAGGTAAGAAAAGTGCTTGAACCTAGGAGGTGGAGGTTGCAGTGAGCCAAGATTGTGCCATTGCACTCCAGCCTGGGTGACACAGTGAGACTCTGTCTCAAAAAAAAAAAAAAAATAGTAAGCAAAAAAAAAAAAACCTAAAATGTTGGTTTGCAACTATGACTTACACAAGCTGCTTCAAGCAACTGTTTGCTATCCTTATGCTATTCAAAGTTTTTATAACAGTGAATTTTAATATAATCTGAAAGTCAACTAGGCCTTGTGGTTCATGCCTGCAATCCCAACACTTTGGGAGGCTGAGGCAGGATGATTACTTGAGCCCAGGAATTTGAGACCAACCTAGGCAACATAGTGACACCCTGTCTCTACAAAAAATACAAAAAAGAGTTTAGCCAAGTACGCTGGCACACATCATAGTCTAAGCTGCTAGAGAGGCTAGGGTGGGATAATTGCTTGAGCCTGAGATGTGGAGAGTGCAGTGAATCAGCCTGTGCAACAGAGCAAAATCTCATCTCTAAAAAGTATGCATGTATTTTCAGATTATGCATGTGCATGTATATATATATAATATATAGATTTATTTTATATATACCATATTAATAGTTATGCTAATTATAGTTAATATTAAGTTATAACTTAATTTTATGTAATTAATATTTTAATATTCTTTAATACATAATTATTTATATCATATATATACACACACAGTCTGAAAGTCATATAAAACATCAAAGAAAAGACTTAAAAGGAACTAAACATGGCTGGGCACAGTGGTTCACGCCTTTAATCCCAGCCCTTTGGGAGGCAGAGGCAGGCGGATCACAAGGTCAAGAGTTCGAGACCAGTCTGACTAACATGATGAAACCCCGTCTCTACTAAAAATACAAAAATTTCCCAGATGTGGTGGTACACATCTGTAATCCCAGTTACTCAGGAGGCTAAGGCAGGAGAATTGCTTGAACCTGGGAGGCAGAGGTTGCAGTGAGCCAAGATCACAACTGCACTCCAGGCTGGGTGACAGAGTAAGACTTCATCTCAACAAAAAAAGGATCTAGACCATAGCACACAAGATAAGCAAAGGAATCAAAACTCATTAATTTCTTTAGTGTTATTAAATTGTGGTTGTCAATCATCTTCATCACCTTGTCAAGATATACATTAGTTTAAATGCACTATCACAAAATTAAAAGGAAATACAATTTTCTTCTTGGGAGCAGTTTTATTTCCAATAAAAGAAAAATCATAAAATGAAACAATATATATCATCAATCTATTTTCTCAATGTGCTATGCAATACCACACTGGAAAAAAATATATTTTCTTTACAAAACAATGTTCCTTTGAAACAAATTCAAACTAGATAAAATCTGCCTTCACACAAGTAGGCAATTACCAAGAGAATAAAGCCCTTAAGGAGCTATCCAATTTATTTATAAATTTACAGTTCACATTTTTAGAATAAAGACAATTTTCAATTATATTTTTAAAGAGTATTCCACACACACGTGGCAAATGTGCACATGTGCACAGAGTTTTAAACCTCCTACAAGTAGGCTTAGGAAAGATTTCTGAGACCCATTCCCAGGAAATTCTTCCTTTGTAATCTGGAAGATTGGTGTGCAAGCTCAAACAACAACCAGCAAGTGGGTATTTCTTCTTCAGCTTCACTATCCCTAAAAAATGATCCATACTGTGTCATTACCGTTATAGAGTTCTTTACTTGCCACTTTTAACTGTCACTTATCCCATATTTCTCTGTCATACCCATTGGGTTTACTGAGCTCTAGACCAAAGTTCTAGCACTGTATATCTGCTTCAATTCATTTTAATTGATGACTAAATATGTTCTAAAATCTTTCTTTCTTCCATATTAAACATGAATATGGGGAAATATATTTTCTTTTTCAGATAGATAAACAAAATAAACAAGGTATAAACATATAAAACTCATTTCATGGCCAGGCGCAATGGCTCATACCTGTAATCACAGCACTTTGGGAGGCCAAGGAGGGCGGATCACGAGGTCGACAGATCGAGACCATCCTGGCCAAAATGGTGAAACCTGTCTCCACTAAAAATACAAAAATTAGCTAGGCATGGTGGCGCATGCCTGTAGTCCCAGCTACTCGGGATGCTGAGGCA